CAAGGGACCATATTATCCAAGGTTTTGGTCTCAATATGATGGAACAGGCTGTGATTTTGATCAACCTATCCAAGGCTGGACAAGAATATGGCTTCAAAGTCATGTCTAAAAAGCATTAGATTTTCTTTTTTGCAAAATTTAGAAATATGCCCAAATGCCTACCACACTTTACATATGTTAGACCAATTACACACTGATTGCACTATATTGGAAAGATAAATGTTATATTTAAGAGCATGTTGTAGGGAAGTAAACAAGAGAAAGTGTATTACATGTATCTGGAATGTCCCATCCACCCACATGCATGCTCAGGAGTGATGGTTGCCAGTGCAGTATAAAGAAATGAATGGACAGCCCACTCATTTTTGGCCTCAACAGCTGCATGAAAAATATCACCATGCCAGCACATGTAAGCCTTGACAAAAGAAAAAGTCTCTTCAATTGGGTTGAGGTCTGGTGAGTAGGGTGGTAGATAGTACAGAAGTACACCTCTAAAATAGAATGGGTGAAGGTTAACAATGAAAGTGGGATAAAGGAAATACATACCTTTCCTCACAAAGGTGTGCCACATCCTCAAGATGATGGATTCCACAGCTATCCATGACAAGGACACTATGCTGTGCCGGCCATGGATTCATGAATGGCATTAGATCTTCAATGTATTTGTATTGTATAAACATGCCATTATAGACTCCTTTGCAAATGTCAGCATAGAGGATACTATCAGACCAGAGCACAGGGAGTAAGGAATATCTATTGGTTGTGCATAGAGCAAATATCCATACAATAAATAAACAAGCATTTACCCAATACCCCACTGAAATTTTGCTGATGTTTGTGTCCATTGCCCATGTTCAGCCCAACTGTACAGCCTGTAAGTTGTTCAAGTGTCAATTCAACTCTCATCAATGAATACAAGCCACTCTGCACTTTCCATGGCAATCTGAAACCTGTATCATGAAATGCTCAGCAGCCACTCTTGATAACTTCCGGTATCAAAATCAGACTAGGAATGGGTATAACAAAAGTGGAGACTCACCTTTTTACGAGTCAAACCTAGCTTTGTCAGAGTATCCCAAATTGTCAATGTTCCCACAGTGATGCCATACTGATGCTGCAAGGAACTCTGCATTTCATCAAGATAGATATTGGGATATTGTTTGGTCAAAGAAACCAAAAACTGCAAGAATAGTGAGTATGGAAACTAAATAAAAGCACAATTATCTCACTTCATGAAGTTGAAGGGCACAAGTCCCTTTAAGGTACCAGACAACACAGACTGTGGCATTCCAGTGTTCATAAGCATAACAGTCAAGGAACTGTGATAGTTGCTGGATAGCATAAGAGATATTGGGGCGAGTCGAGATGGCAAGATATAGAAGGGAGCCAACAAGGGAACGGTATGGAAGTTTGGCCAGGTTGACCTGGTCATCTTCCGGGAGGGAAGACCGAATGACACACCTGAGTTTAAGGCCAGGAACCATAGGAATAGGAAGGGGATTAGCATCGGTTTGGCCAAACTGAGAAATGAGGCGATCAATTAGAGCAGTCTGAGATAACTTAACAACATGATTTGGATGGTCCCATTCGACAGCTATGCCAACAACAAAGTGGACTGTCCCAAGATCAGAAAATTTCCAAACCTCTTTCATCTGTTGTTTAAACCTCTCATTTTCAGCCTGGGATGATGCAATGGATAGAAAATCATCGACATGGACTGCAGTAATGACAATCCCTAGCGATGTTTTGCGGTAGTATATGCAAGAGTTGCTGGAGAGCTGAGTAAATCCCCAGCTCAACATTTTCTCATGCATTGTTCGGTTCCAGATACGACCTGCCTGTTTCATGCCATACAAGCCATGGACAATCTGCCATACCCAAGACTCTTTTCCTGGCTCCTCAAAACCGTCTGGCTGGAACATATATTGGACCTCATCATCTGGGAGTAAACCATACAAAAATGTGGTTTTGATGTCAATTTGCTGTGCATCCCAGCCAAAATGGGCTGCTATATGTAGGAGAAGGCACCAGGACTCCATCCGGGCTGTAGGTGAGGTTGTTTTATCATAATCATGCCCATAGACCTGCTCAAAACCCTTAAAGACAAGCCTAGTTTTATGGCAGGTCACCTCCCCCATAGCATCCCATTTGACATGGAACACTGGTTTTCCTTTATGGATTTTGGTGCCAGCAGGGACCTCCAAACATGGTACCAACTCATATACCCCCATGTCTCGTAAGGACTGAAGTTCTTCTTGGTAGCTAGTACGCCAGGCATCTCCATGGGGAGAGTTCTGAGCCTCCTCCCAGGTGAGTGGGTCTGCCTCAAAAGATGTAGATCCATCACATGTAGGCATATTTGAGATTGCAGCCAGGATATCAGCATCAGAGTCACCCAGGCCACAAAAGTCATCCAAAAGGATACTGTATTAAGCTCACCAGCGGTATCAGCCAGTGGACCAGAATCTTCGTGTAGCTGCTGAAAATCAAGGTGGCACTGTTCTCATTGTGCATGCACACATGCAGCACTGGCAATGGAGTCTTGAACAGCTGTTTCAAGCCGAGAGGGACGATTGGGAATTTGTGTGGCGAGGTGGGAAGAGTGGTGAATGCCATCCTCAGCGGGAAGAGGTGCTGGAGCAACAGCAGGAGGCTCAGGGATGATAGGGCCAGTAGTAGACTGCGTTATTGCAGGAGGCGGGGCTAACTGAGGCACATGGACGATAGGGTCAAGATCTTCAAGGGGAGATGATAAAATTGTAGTGGGTAAAGGAATATTGGGTACAGGTGGTGGATGCTTGGGGAGGCTGGAGGGAGGCAAATGAGGATGGCCTTCATGACTTTCAAGGAACCTGACATGATAAGAAACATAAATTTGGTTAGACTTGGGATCATAGCAATGATACGCTTTCATATTGGGGTCATATCCAAGAAGGATACACTCAACAGAGTGCTCATAGATTTTGAGGTTGTGCTTATTCAGGATGAGGACAAAGGCACAGCACCCAGCCTCATGCAAATAGAGAGATCAGGAATATGGCCATGCCAAAGCTTCCAAGGTGTCTTGCCATGTAGTTGACAACTTGTTGTTTTTGCATGTACATGTGTAGCAGTCAGGTAGAACTCCTCCCAAAATCGGGCAGTTAATCCTGCATATATTGCCATGGTACGGGCCTTACCCATGAGAGTCTGGTGAAGGCATTCAATGCAGCCTATATGTGCAGAAGTATGAGGTGCAGTGAATTGATGAACAGTACCTCGAGATTCCAGCCACTGTTTCATTTGATTAGACTTCAATTCCCCATTATCCATTCTGTAGATGCCAATTTTCAAACCAGTTTCCACTTCACGAGAAAGCTCCCAGGCCTGCAAGGCAGGAAAAGCATCACTCTTGTGTTTGAGGGGAATAGTCCAGGTGTAGCTGGAATAATCATCAACAATGTTCATTACATACTCTGATCCTGTGTGGGATGCTACATCATTAGGACCTGCGAAGTCCACCCAGACCTTCTCTAAATGTCTTGTAGCCTTATGCCCATCCCCCTGTGCTCGTACTTTCAGTACAGAACCTTTGGTCTGTTTGCTAAGTATGCAAAAGTCACATTTCAGAGGAGGCTGGTGAATGGATACTGACATACCTTTGATGGTGCCACTGTTAATCATGTCCATGATGGACTGGTAATTGGCATGGCCTAGGTGTCGGTGCCAAGTACCAATGTCTAGAGTGCCATGGGTGAGAAGTGCATGTTCAGCTGTAGCAGATTTGATGGACAAAGAGTACAGATTTTTGTGTGACAATAAAGATCCAGATGCAATGGTTGTACCAGAGGAGTTCATAAGCCAACATGATGAATCACTAAAATGTGCAACAATTTTAGAATCCCTAGTGATGCACCAGATGGAAATAAGCCGAACAGAATCAGTAGGGATATAGTGAACATCACAAAGAACTATGTATGCCCCCTTCCGATGTGTAAGTGAATGTCTCCTATGACCTACGACCTCTCGACCACGACCCCCACCCGGACTCCCCGGGATTCCCATCTGCCTGTCTGAAATTGGATGACATGATCTAGCAAGGGCGCAGCCTATAAGCTGAAGCCAAGTCTTACTGGATATCCCGCGGGTTTCTCCGGAGACCCGCCCTGTGTGAGTATCCTAACAGGTACCCAGAACAGATGTAATCACTAATAGAAATCCTGATCTTCAGCAGTCTGTGACCAGCACTCTTAATCTTGGACATTACTACCACTTTCATACAATGATATTGCCCCATATGATGATATATTATCATTGCGATTTATATTCTGGATTGTGCTATTTTAGTGATGAGGACTCTGCTTGTATAGCAGAGTTCATTAACAATGATACTGGCAACATACTAGTGGACTGTGTTAACAAGTATTGGGTATTACAAAATGGACCCTGGATCCAGAGCATCATCATTCACTATTTATGATGTCAGACTTGGCACAAATTTGGAGAAGCTAGGGGAAATATTACAAAGGAAAGGAGTTGGAACTCCAGGTCTTGCAGGCACACAAATGATAGCTTGGCCCAAAGTATCCAAATACATTAACAATCTTAGGAAATTTGGCAAGTACATTGTGGAATTTGGAAATGTATTCTGAAAATCAGAAGCTGGAAATGTAGGTCCTGGAGGCACATGAGTGACTGTTGTAAAATGGTGATGAAAGACCCACCTCTCTAGGGAGGGCTTACCCCTCACCTTCCACTTTATTCTTGAAAATGGGGATTGTGGACCATTTTTTGGAGGCTAATGCATTATTTTACCCATGTGCACCTTGTAGATTGTGTATTTACAATAGTGACTGCTTGGTCCCAGAGCATCCACATACATTTTAGGCTATGACAAACCTAGCATACATACACATTGCAAACTCTGGGAAGATCTGCTGGGGCTCAGGAGTTGCTAGTGCAGGTTGTGGAGGTATAAAAGTGACTCTTTGTGAGATTACATAAGTAATGTAGAAAATTAATGGCCAGATTGGATATTGAACCCAGGGTCTTTCACATACATATGTATATAGCAAGGGTGCTAACCACTATACCACCTGACCTTGGGTAGGTTCAGTCTTACACTTTACTCAAAAATATAACCTCAAGTGCCTGTTCCTATTAGATGATACAGTATACACACTGAACTCAGACCTGTATTAAGTAACAGTTGGAACAATGGTTGGTATTACATAATCTAACACTCTTTGACCCAGAGCATCCAGATATATTAATGATCTTGGTATTCATCTTGCAGAATCTGGGAAAGTATACTGAAACTCAGGAGCTGGAAGTGCATGTCTTAGAGGCACACAGGTGACTCTTTGGTCCAGAGCATCCAGGAACATTTTCAGCCATGGGAAACTTGGCAAATACATTGCAGAATTTGGGACAATATACTAAATATCAGGAGCTGCAAGTGTATGTCCTGGAAGTGTTACGACCGTGTCGTAACCCATGTCGCAACCCGATGGTCTCCGAGAATACTACAGTCTATCGATGTTTCGAGTTATTGATCAAGTCATCATTTCGGCAACCTTTGGAACACCGACACTGACGTATACCTTCACGGCGATCAAACCCCATTTACGCCCCTGTCAAATATACTCGTACCATCTGGTTATGCTTTGATACGTCCCCTTTCATTATGATGATCTGTTTTACTCTATGTTTCACATATGCCCATATATACTTGTAGCCCGTGGACTATTCCCTTTTCTCATAATCCCGCTCTCGGCTAAATCTCGGCTTCCGATCTTATCGTAACCTTCCAGTTTCTAGTCAAGTCTATTTGTCAAATAGTGTTTCCGCTCTTCCCTTAGTTAGTAGTTTCTAGACGCCAATAACTCATATATAAGACCCGCTGTAATGGAGTTATTGGACAATCAGAATATCGACTTAGATCGACTTATATACCCCTCTAATTTCCGACTCCATTATCTATTCACAAACACCACATTCCGACACCATCCGATTTATGATTCAACCTACATTTACGACTTCAACCTCAGTCTCTGACTCTCTCAGTCTCCGACTCTCTCAGTCTCCGACTCTCTCAGTCTCCAACACTCTCAGTCTCCGACACTCTCAGTCCCAGACTCTCAATCTCCGACTCTCAGTCCCCGACTCTCAGTCTCCGACTCTTGGTCTCTGATCCCTCAGCCCAACCCTTGACTTATCCTTCGGTTTCCGACTGGTAGTTTACCGAGAGGTTTATTCGACAGGACTAGTTTCCCGACACCTGACGGTAATTTGCGAGGGCGCAGCACATAAGCTGAAGCCAAGTCCTTCCGATTGGTCCCTGTCGGCCACCGACATTAGTCAGTTTTCAGTTCTTAACAGGAAGCCTACCAGCATCTGCTTGGGGCCCAGAGCATCTAGATGCATCAAAGAGCAAGGGACACTTGGCAGGCACCTTGGAGAATCTTGGAAAATATGCTCAAGCTCAGGAGCTACAAGTGCAGTTCCTGGAAGTTCACAAATGACTCCTTGGCCCAGACCATCCAGATATGTCATGGGGACAAGGAAATTTGGCATTGACCTTGCGAAATTTGGGAAATTATCCTGAAACACAAGACCTGGACGTCCAGGTCTTGCAGGCATGAACTTTTGAGAGAAAGTGCTTTACCCAGATTGTACTTTCTTTTCTGACACATTTATTTTACTACCTTTCCCATACTCTTCTTAATTTATCACTAGGGATATCCTACTATTTACTATCGACATTGTAGTTAGTAGCGACATGTATACTTGTGGGCAAATGCCCAGTGTGAATTAGATCATTTTCAGGTTGCAACTTTGTGTGCTTGAAGAGGAGGATCCACCCCTACCACTATAAGTTGGAACTGCAATTCTGGTATATTTACCTTCAGCCTGTGACATTGTACCTATTCGGTCGCCATAGCTCAATTGATGTTAATGTCATTACCTTTTCATCATTTCCTAGTCGCATGTGACCAAAATAATATCCGGACGTAAATCTTGCCATTTTTATAGTAAGGTTATGTGAATACAAATTGAGGAGTGACTACAGCAGAATTTAACTTCAAGAGATATGCCCATTCGAACAGGCAGCATTGCCGGCCCTAAGCCCGTGCTTGGCGAGTGGTGTTGCTGCGCATACTTCACAGGACACATTCCGGTGTTGGAGAATGATGACAGAAAAGAGGTGTATGCGGCGGGAGTCATTGAAGGCGCCTACATGTGATACTGCACAGAAGCCAAGGTCATTAACGGTTGATGCCAAAATAGCCAACGAACATGCTGCAGTCACGATGGTAGTACCTATCCTTAACCGCAATCTTAGAGCATATACACAGTTTCTAAATTAAGTTCGGACATATTCACAGGACGACGATGCTGGCCTTGACGCTCCGAGTCAGGTCACGGCAACCCAACGGCGAGATATAGTGGTAAGTATTGCTTAGCCGCGTATGTTGAAAGAGGACAGTAGAGAGGGGACAATGGTGATAGGGAATGAATCGACCAAGAATGGACAAGTTCAAAGGACGAATGGGTATACGAGAAGGGCGCGACACATAATAGCCTAAACTTAACGAAGGACAGATGGCTGACGCTACTAGAGTCTCCAAACCACGCTAGCTAGCTCTCGAAATCATCTTGTTTAGTGGTCACTCTATGTCAGCTGGCGTTTGCAATGGCAGAGCGACGACTGTCCTGATGCGCTTCCTGGTGTTAAACTGGTGCACCATGCCATGTGACATGTCGTAAAAGTTCGCGATAGAAATCCGCAAGGATGTCGCCTACTGTCAACACTGCTGAGGTCAACGGGATAGACGTCGATGTGGTAGGGTAAGAGGCTCCATTGGAGTCGAAAGAAAGGAAGTGGAGGGAACGTGGCTGGTATGGCGCCGTCTCGAGCTGTAGTTTCCAAAGGTCGTAGTGACCGAGTCCATTGGAGATACGCACTGATTGCGCTCTACATTCTCCAGGTATGTGGAAGCACTGCATCTAGGTGAGCCAGTGTTAGTTGAAGTTGTATAGTTCGACACATTGTCATAACCCACATCCATTATCCAACGCCATCTATTGTCAAACTGCGGTGGCTGGGGCCAAACCCAGGTCAAAGAGATATGCGCGTTCTACCACACATGGTTGCCGGCCTTGAGCCCATGCTTGCTAGTATGGCTGCGGCGTCTCCGGCGTGGAGAATGGTCTAGTCGGTTATGCTTCGGAACGATGACAGGAAAGAGGTGCATGCAGGAGAAGCCGCTGAGGACAGCTACTTCTAGTGCCGAACATAAGCGAAGGTCATTCGCATCGATGCCAAGATAGTCAACGAATACGTCGTAGTCCCAATTGTCATACCTATCTTTAACCGTAGTAATGAAGTACATCAATGAGTTGTTGCTCCTGTCTATGTTAGGTTCAGACTTATCCACAGAACAACATTATCGACCGTTGATGTCCAGAGACATCCTCAACACCGTTCGTGGGCAAGCGTGTCGTGGTGTTTGGGGCGAAGGTTTACGTCACATGTTACCGCTGCACAGGAGGTCAAAGACAATTTTATGATTAACATGCAGCATGTAATCCGCCATATCTCTAGCGTGAATGCAAACACACGTCAGCATCTTCGTCTGTCCACGAATTGCCTCAAATAGACTCCATACTCACTAAGTTTTGCCGTATCGTCTTATCTAGCCTGGTGGCAAGGATGGCAGTCTATACTTGTCCGACGGGACATGGTTCAACATCCGAATCGAGTCGTCATCGTCACTGGGAGAACTGAGTACCGGCCGCCGCGATGCAGAGCGGGTTGAGAGCGAAAGCAAAGCATCGAACGCCCATTGTGTTCGTGAGGAAGGTTATACAAACTTGGTGAGTGCTGTCCGGGGGATATGACGTGTGCGAAACTCTGACAGACGTGACAAGTGTTGGAAAGGAACACGAAGCGGAGGCGGATCAGCGACGATAAAGCCAGAAGCGAAGTCGCTGCAACCTGATGGTGGTATATAATGAAGCCACAATATTAGCCATGCATGTCGATCGGCACATAGCTCAGTCGTAATATTCAAATGGACTACGGGATACTGTGCAGTGAAGAGTGAAGAGGTGACAGTGGCGCGGGCGTTGCCACGTCAACGTTTTATCTCTCTACAACGCATCTTACTTCATATGAAGGGAGTAGTATCTTGAACTCGTCGGCTTCAGAGGACACCAGAAATTGTGAGCATACTCGTGATCGCGTAGATTCTGGATTCAGCATCAAAATACTTGTCGAACGCTAATGACGATTCTGACAGCGTTGTCGCCATCCATGGCCTAGATAAACACCGCGAAGACTCCTAGACGGCCGAAAACGGAATCCCCCCCCCCCCCCCTGGTGCAAGCCCTGGAAGACGGTGCCTTTCGACAGCCAATGAATGCTGTGCAGTCCATTACTGGACTCATATTCGCGATCTGTGTCTGCTGGCGTTTGCAACGGTGGAACCACGATTTCCTGACACGCTCGTTGGTGTCAGCAGGAGTGTCGTGCCATTCAGAACCTGAGGCATGCCGTCACAGTTTGTGAAAGATGCTCTTAAGGACGTTGCCTACTATCACCACTGTGCTGTGGTCAGCGGGATAGATGTCAATAGGCCAGGGCACGCGATTGCAGTGGAGTCGGAGGAAAGGAAGTGGAGGGGACGTCAGTGGCATGGCGGGGTCTCGAGGTGAAAGGTTATTTTCGTAGAATGAGGAAGATGAATTCAACCTCGGAACGATTTACGAGGGAGGAAGTAAAATGTTGTTTCGAATCATGAGGCTGGACACATGCAAATGAAAAACGAGGAGTGGGTTGATGCTGGCGCTGGAGCGTCCGTGGGGAGACAGAGGCGTCTGAGAATATGCGAGAGGGCGTGGTTGAGAGGCTTTGAACTGGTGGAAAGCATGGGCGATGAAGGGTAAGTAGGACGACGGTGGTCTCGCGAGGTGGTGTAATATGAAGGACACTTAGTTGCCGCACGTCTAAAAGATGATGGAGTTGAAGCGGAACACGAGGAGTCATTATCGTAGTAGGACACCATTGGAGAACTTGGGAAGTGGGGCAAAAACAGTG